ATCAGTTCCCTGAGACAGTGACACAGTGGATAAAAGGCGAGTTAAAATGAAACCTGAAGACATAAAGTTTTGTAACCCAGGTCGAGCAAGCCTTCAGGCCAAGAAAGTATTTTTTCATTCCTTTACGGCCTCGAAGGCTAGTTTGGACGATCCAGAATATGGATCAAGGTCGCCAAAAGTCCTGTGAATGTTGATACAGTTAAGCAGAAAGGGATTTCCTTGACTGTAATTGGCATTCCATGGCAGTCCGTAGTGGTGAAAGTAGTGCGCCTTGGTGTGGTTTATATTGGGAAATGAATGCAATATTACGTGACCAGTTCAGCTTAGCAGAATGCAGGAATTATAATGAACAGAACAAAACTTTAATAATTAGACGTTGTGAGCATCGTTGGAATTCAGAACATACCATGCTCGTAAAGTCATACGGCAATATCGACGGTTGATACGTTTGGCACATTAAAGTAAGCACCAAAGGCAGAGGAGGTGTGAAAACTCCCTGAAATGACCATGGTAACTCCTGATCATAGTAACTACCTGTAAACACCATGGTGTCTCATGATCATATCACACTCCCTCTAAAGACCATGGTTTCTCATGATCATATCAGACCCGTGAAGGTCCGGGTTGGAATTGGTCTTCAGCAAGCCATGCTTGTCATAAGAGGCGACTAACAGGATCGGGTGGTCAGGCTCTCTGACTTGGTTGACACATGTCATTGTATCCCAAATTGCGTAGATGCTCATGCTCTTGATCACTGGATTGTTTGATCGACTCGATTATTTACAGACATATGAACAAAGAGAATTTCTGGGGTTTATCTTCTTTTTATTGTTTGTAAACAATAAAAAGAAGATGAAACCCAGAAAAGTCTCATGTTCATCAAATAGCATTTTCTAAAATGCCAATCAAACATCGCCTCCATATGGCCGGAATATTCCTAAGTGTGGCGTTAAACCACAAACAAACAAACAAAATAGTAGACCTTCAGCCTGCTGTCACCCAGTAACATTTCCCGAACACAAGGCCAGCAGAAAACCTTATCCAAATGCTACAAACGGACATCTCAAACATGGTATCTCATCTGTGTATTCTTAAAACTCACTTACAATGAAAAAAAATAATAGAAGACTATGGCCTCCCTCAAGCATTCCCTCTTTAGGTACCGCCTCCGTTGTGTATTGGTTAGAGCATCCGCCCGAAGAGCGGGAGGTCGCGGGTACGATCCCCGGCACGTCATACCAAAAGATGTTAAAATATGGTACTTGTGGGTCCCTGCATGGCGCTCGGTATTAATGGGTACAACAAGGACTGGTCGGCTCGGAGTCAGTATAATGTGTCTGAGTGGGGTATTCATGCTTCACTGCGGCATGGTATCTCAATGGGCTAGCACTATAAAACCAGCTTAAGTCTGGGCTAGTACAAGCAGCCACACACACACATGCACGTCGTCATATGAGCGAAATAATCTTAAGTGCGACGTTAAACCCCATTTCACCTCACCTCACCCTCTCTAGGCAGGTTTAGTGATAGTTAGTAGTACTCTTAACAAACTCGTAATTTGTATTTGATGTTTTACAAAATAAGGCTGCAAAGAATACTTTAGATAACCAACTTCCAGCTCTCGACATCCGATGCGGATTTAAAAAGTGAATTCTCCCCCAAGTCCCCATCTGGTCACAGCATACACCTCATTATCCATGCCGTGTGATAAGCCTGTCTTCCAACAGCCCTATCAGCGTGATGGACTGCAGGTCCTACTGGGTACGGCAACAGGTAGGTCGTCAGCAGCAACGTTGTCAGGAACATCGTGGGTATGCTTACTACAGCTTCCAGGCAGGTAGCCCTGCTATCTGCCCGGAGGAACACATGCAGGCACTGAAGTTCACCTTCAGTCTGTGTGGTCTGCATAGCATCCAGTACATACTCTTTGGCTTTATAACAAGTGTTTTACTTTTTCAAGATATTAAATTGATGAATACACTGTATGAAATATGATAAATAACGACATTAGATAAATAATGAACTATCTGACGCCAGTAAAACAATAGGGGTCAAGTTGATCCCGAAACTGGAGTGAAGGATGACAGGTCTGAGGTTATTATAGTACCCGGTTCCCATTCACATTGAAAGAAGAAAATAAAGAAAACTATTTGAAATGTAAGCATATCATTTAATAATCTAAGCTAAATATCAGTGTCGATTATCTGCTGAAGCAAATTCCATTGGGCCTAAAAAGCAAAATAGTAGTGGACGTAATATAATTGAATCACTGTCTATCTGCGAGTGGACCGGGTGTTCATTAAAAGGGTAAGCATGTCATACTCTACTGGTAGTATCCCCTACTCACACAGTTTGCACAATGCAGTAAGGGTTTGTTGCCTAACGCTGCACATCAATACTTCTGCCAAAAGCAAGGATATCTTGGTATGCTATCTGGATGCACTTTTCTTCAATTGTGCTTTAAGTGTCGTCAACTGTGTTCTCCTGGTGATTTACGGACATGGGGTTGTAGCTCGCCGGGAGTGAGAAGATACGTGTAATGTTAGCGTCCTGTATCGCGGTCACTGGGACAGAACACAGTAACATATTGTATAATTACACGTTGTCCCGAACCTCCACCTCATTAGTGTCACTTCCATATCCACACAGCACAGCAGCTGCACGCACGGGACATGCGAGTCCTCATTTCTAGCTTGTTACATGGATTTTCTATCTCTCTTTTTCAGAAAGAAAGGTTTTATACGAAATGTAAAACCACACGTGACTGATAATTTTGCAACATTTTGAACTTGTGGAAATCAAACACTTTTGTTTTATTTCTCGGGAATGTTTTGCTACTGCAAAAAAACCCCACCTTTCAAATAACATAAGTGCGATTCTGACTATATATTAAACTCATGTATATCAAGTAGTCATGACACCAGGTGTTTTCAACAACGTCAACGTATCTTGCACCACCGGTAGCATCTGTCATAAACACATGCAAAGGAAAGTCAAGCATTCATCCGAAAAGACATATATGGTATAGGTAAAAATAAGGAACTGAATAGGACATTATTTTTTCACTGACAGATTTTGGAAATATTTTCACATGCCTACCATATGCGTTTTCGAAAATATTACAAAGACTTTAAAAGCCGTAAATCGGGACTTTAAAAGCCGCAAATCTGATCAAACAAATTGGTCCTAGCCAAATTCTCTTGTTTTTATTTTGCCAATCTAAGAAAAGTTTTGGACTTGTATGACAAAGGAAACAGATACGAAAGAAAGAAAGAAAGAAAGAAAGAAAGGGGGAACCATTTTGTGAATTACCTACTTCTTGCCTTCTTCATGTCGTATGGGGTGCTGGGGTAGCCTAGTGCTGTCACCACCGCCATATTGATAAAAGCGGCGTAAAACCCATCTCACTCACTCTTCGTGTCAGATTCTCCGATGACATTTACTTATGGTGCTATGGTAAGCATGTTTAGTGACAAATATTACATCGGTCAAGGAATGACGCTCTCCTTATGTATATTGTGTGGGATATTGTCCTAAAAAAAATTCCCCTACATTATTAAGAAATTCATACAAATACTTGTTTTTTAAAATGTATTTTAGAATGTTGTCAGTTCCACTTCTCTCAAATACATTCTGTGAATACAAATACCACCTTCTTTGATTGTATACTACCCATCAAAAGATTAGACCCACTAGTGTAAATGTAGACACTTACTTCAGTCAACTGTCCTAAACTAGATTTAGCAAAATCTTCCATACTGTTTAAAGGAAGTGTTCACAGATGGACTGATGTATTGTAAAACATATTCGTAACGTTGAAAAAATTTATTGTCATGAGTTCAATGATGAAACTCAGTGAAAATTGACGAATTCTTAAGAAAACTTTACACCAAAACGAAGCTGTCCACATGCACGATATTTGCACATGCTCTTCGGCAATTTGATGCATGTCATCTGCATAAGGTTTGCAGTTGGCTCCCTCAAGTTAGTGGAGAAATTCATCTTCGATGTAACCGTATGTATGCATGACATATAGCGAATGCTTTAAGTGAGCCTAAACTTTTGATGGGTAGTATATTAAGGATTAAGGTTAATTTCTGGTACAAGGATTTGGTGGTCGGTGCAATATATATATATATATTTGTTATATTATTTGATATGTCACTTATACCTAAATGCTTGATCTAACAATGAATTTAGCAATGCTTACATTTAATGGATTTGTTAAACACAGGGATGTTTCTTGGTATTGCCTTTATGTGAAAAAAAACAACTTAATTCTTTGCTACACTAAAGGACAACTGAATTATACATTTGATGTGTAGCCAAAGGGTACATCGTTGGAAGTTGCCAATAAATAAACAATTGAATCTGAGGTATATCAACCGTCACCTGTGACAGTGAAAACATTAACGGAAGAGGATAATCAGTGTCGAACATTTGCCGAGACAGATTCCATAGAGCATCAAATGTAAATGTTTGATGAAAATGATATGAATGGATAAATATTTTTTAGATTTAAGCAGGAATTATACTATTATCTTAACTCCGATGGGGCTGTGTTAGAGCCTTATTGTATAGCAGTTCATACTGTTACCATGCATGTGTGCATGGTGAACGTTTTTCTATGGGTATACTCCAAGGTCTATCTATCTGATTGTATTCAGGTGTGCAGGTGGTGTTTACCTGGTGTACGCTATAAGATAGATGTAACGCCCCCCTTACTATCGCTATTAATGAGCATCCACAACAGAGTCACATCTCTTTGAAGTGTGCTGTTACACAGGTGTACCAGAAAGTGAGTCACATATACCTGTGATGCTCGCTATTATACATGTGGGGTAAAATTGAGTGACATCAGTTTCGTGTACATTATCATACAGGTGTATTGAAATGTAGGTGACACCTACCTACCTAGCTGGTTCTGTATTGATATACCAGAAGGTACGTGACAGCCATCTACGCTATAATACTGACAGCGGAATGTGAGTGACACCTACCTTCTTGGTTGATGTTCATGAAGCTGCGAACGATGCTGGAGGTGGGATGGATGTAGGGCTTGCGGACGGAAAACCTATTGTACAGGTCCATCATATACTCGGGGGGATCCCGATAGGGGTCACGAATATTCCCCTCAGCCCCTTCCGAGGCCAATCCCGGGGGTGGCAATTTCTCTAAGCTGATGTCCTCTATTTCCACCTCTTCGTCTTCCATGTCATCTGGATCCTCCTCGCTGTCATAGTCGTCGTACAGCGTGTTGTATTGGTAGTCCATGCCACCGTCCAGGCCATCTGGGAGGGTGATGTTGCCAGTGACATTGAAGTCACTAACAAGGCTCCAGTTGAATGGAAGAGCAACAGATGGACGTAAGATGGTCGGTAGCAGGAGAAGCAATCGGATGACCTCAGAAATAAGCAGACGTAACCTCATCCTCTAACGGCGATAAGTTGGCGGGAAAATGACGTCTTCGCACCTTCTATCACAGACGACACGATAAGGACACTACATCGACACACATTGTGACAGTGTCGACTGGTATAATATCTCGACTTGGTCTACAGTCATGTTATGTACAATTGGCATTAGCTGTTCCTGAATGTGGGCAGTACCCTATGTGCCTATTCCAATCAGTTGTGTCGGCAAATGAACACCTACAACGTGCTCGCCGTCTTGTACCACCACATTTCACAATCCGGGGTTCTCGCAATCTGCGCTCCACTGTCAAATTACGGCATAATTTACAATGGGTATCAGCGGGAACTCACACGGATCATATATAATGAAATATTATCAACCAGTAGTTGTTTTGCCGCAGAGTGAATGCAAACGGTACTCCAGAGTAGAGACGCATTTTCTCCGAGCCAAGGTTCTGTTTCAGGTGCTTACTCCAGCAGATAAGTGACGAACATGCCATGTGCTCTGGCGGGGGGCAAAGGTGGACCACGCTGCCTGCTTGGGGTCCGCACCCCTTATCTCTAGCAGTCCGTAGCGCCTCCTTTCTTCTCCAACACCGCACTCCCGATAAATAAGTGTTTTGCTTATTATCACAAGATAATTCTTTGATTTGGTAATTACACGTACGATAGGCTGACAGACTCAACTGAGGCTTCTCTTTGTACAATACCACCCTGCACCATTGTTGGTGCCTATAGGATGTTGGCCCGATCTCCTACCTGCTACCTGGGCGGGGGACTGTATACACAGCAAGGGAGCTGTAACACGCGCTGTTTATTATTCTTTCAACAGAACTTAACTTATCACTTTCACTGAAGATCCACGAGTACCTTGGCGTAGCTTCTGAGCTATGACTGTTCTTTTTCGTGTGGCTGGACACCACGTTCAGAGAGTACTAGTGGTGTATTTTAGGAGTACATACTTTACATGGCAGATAGAGAATCCTAATGGCGTTCTGAAGTATATACCAATTAAATATTACAATTTTGCTGAATATGTTTTACATACTTGCTATGTTGAAACGATTGGTTATTTGTATTCCCAATGAGAGAGGTGAGAGAAGATATTAAGTATGACCTTTAACCCCTACTACTGCTTAAAAATCCAAGCCATAAAAATATACAAATATAAATCAAACAACAACTCAATCAAACCTAAACAGTCAACGGCGTTAAGAGCATTGCATATGTTTTTGTGCATATAAATATGAGAAGCTATAGTGCCAGGTGGTACAAACAGGCGTGTGTCAGGGAGTACTTTGAATCCATCGTTTGTTATACTCGGCCCTCATCACATGGGTGAGAGGTTCCAATAAAGAGGCACCATATGCCTGCTACAAGCAACCCTTGTTCCCAAGTTGTCTCATCAGATGCAGTCCCTACAGGTTTGTTCCACCTGTGCAAAACAAACAATGCTATTCTGTTTAATTAACAAACCGACATTTGTTTTAATCGTCATCACATCTGATAGATACCATAAGATGAACGGAGAAGTGCAATACTCTCGCAGTTCTATCACCGGTGGTCACATACAGCTGAGGTTCATATCGCTGCCAGCAGGTGCGTGTCAGACACAACTTGTAAAGACCACAAGTATGCAATATGGTACAGTCAACTTGAAGTGTTTGATTTAGATTACCCGCGAAATATACTGCTCAGAGTTTGGTAAGGATCATGTATTGACGAAACTACCGGGGAAAAGAAGGTTATCACTGACTTCACTTGATCAAACTAAAATGAAACAAAGACGTATGTGAGATTCATGATAATTATTTTACAAACATAAATTCATTGTAATGCTGGTCTTGTATTTAGCGCTATTCATTAAGAAAGAGTCAAGGGATCATACTTCAAAATTACAAAAATCAGAGTTCATTCAAAAAGTGCAAAAAGAGTCACATTATGAGACAGGAGTCAGGGGACGCGTCATCAATAGCGAGTGTGACCACCCAGGGCATCAATACACGCCAACACACGTCTCCTCACTGACGTCGTCAGTCGGCGGATGACGTCAGCAGGAATCCTGTTCCATAAGTCCAAGAGTCTGTTCCTGTCGGTTCGCTGGAGGTGGTACACGCTGTCTCAGCTGACGATCAGGGTGATTCCCAGAGATGTTCAATGGTGTTCATGCCTAGAGAACGCCCTGACCAAGGCAATAAGTTGACGTTAACGTTGTGAAGGTATTCTCTAACAACTCTGGCGGTGGGAGGCCTTGCGTTGACGTGCTGTAGAATGACTCCTCTTAGCTGTTGTCGAATAAAGGGCACCACAAAAGATCTCAACACTTCATCCCTGTATCGCTGGGCATTCAGATTTCTTCGGATGATAACAAGTCTTATTCTCTGGCCACAAACGCAGCCCCATACCATGACGCCTCCTCCATCGAACAGATGAACTTCTTGAAGGCAGTGTGGCGCCAGTCGCTCTCCTCTACGTGGAAAAACTCTAACTCTGCCATCGTTTCTGAACAGACTAAACCGACTTTCATCTGTAAAGAGCTACTCTCTCCCACAGTCACGTCGCTACCATCGGCGTACTGTTCGTGCCCATTGCAGTCTGCGTTTTCGGTGTAGACGGGTCAAGGCAATTCCACGGAAGGGGTGGTTGGCTCCCATACCATGTCGTATGCTGCTAGCATATCCTACTGATGTCGCCGCCGCCGACGTTTCCGTCACGATTCTGTTCCGGAAGTGGATCTGCCTGATGTAGCGGTCTTCGGCCAGTGTCGTGACTCTTGGTCTTCTCGATCTTGGGTGGTCTTGGGTCTGGCCAGTTTGCTGGTAGCGGTTTATTAATTTGCTGATGGTGGCCTGGCTGCAGTTGAAGGTTCGTGCCAGCTGACGTTGTGAAGCCCCCATATTGACCATGCCGATCGCCCTGTCTCGTTGCGCTTGCTTAAGTCTTGGCAGATGTGTTTTGTTTTTGTTACTCCTTGCTTGCTCTGTCCAACATCTGTATTTATGCCCCAATCATGCACGTGCATTTGGACCACTCTCCCACAATTACTTTTTTTCACGTTTTGAAAAATGCGCGAGTTGTACGATTTTTACGGACATTTGCGTTGTTATCGGGATCATGTTGCGTTTTTGCGAATGTTCTCTGCTTGGGTTCAAACCTGTACCAGCGTGTTAGTTTTTTATACAATTACGTTAAAAGTTATAACTTTCTTTTGCCAGAAAGTTTATATAAAATTACCCAGAACTTAAAGATTGATAGTCACCTTAAGATATTACTTTCACGATGAATGGACAGACGCATGCTGTCATGGTCACGGTCGTGATTTTCGTAACTTCATCAGAGAGCACAACGGCATTTCCTGTGGACGTCTGATGGCCGAACAGACTCGTGAAGATCCGGGTTAGAATTGATCTTCAGGAACCCATGCTTGTCGTAAGAGGCAACTAACGGGATCGGGAGGTCAGGCTCGTTAACTTGGTTGACACATGTCATCGGTTCCCAGTTGCGTAGATTGATGCTCATGCTGTTGATCACTGGATTGTCTGGTCCAGGCTCGATTATTTACAGACCGCCGCCATATAGTTGGAATATTGCTGAGTGCGGCGTAAAACTAAACTCACTCACTCACTGATGGCCGAACAAAATTTCAGATGCCAAGAGCATGCATGAAACTGGGTCAACACCTGACGTTGCATCTTTGGTGTCAAATAAAGTGTGATCAGCAGGGCATGGATTAGACAACAACCGTTGTTAGTTACCAAACAACATGCTGATTACTGACAGCGTTTCACCACACAGCGAAGTACAGGTTTCTCTACACGCAGCAAGATATCGTGACTGCCACCACATGCAACTTAATGACTGGCGGAACGCCAGTAGCATTAACGTTTCTATAGAGCGTTATCGTCCCCGTGAAGCAGGTCTCCGGTCAAGCAGGTTATCCATTCACATCCCGCCGACTCGACATCACACGCAGGATCGGGCCGAAGAGCATATCAGTTGGAAAGACTACGCTCCGGATCTTATACTAATGAATCAAAATACTCTCCAGGCTTCAAAGATTGTCGTAAAGATTTCAGGATTCCAACATAGCCCTTCATGACCGCTATGGAGGAGGGTTAATCATGATTTAGGATGGGGTCAGAAGAGCGAGCTGGAAGAACCCAACTCCAGCGAGGCAGGGTGATAGGTATGCGCTGAAAGGATGAGGTGGACGTAGGACGGTATGTAGGTGCTCTTGAAGAAGAGTGGAACAATCATCATTTGCAATCAACCACTATTTGGAGCGATACAACATTGCAAGCCTGGGATACCGTCACGTGGATCACATACACGATGATACACACAATACGATGGACACATATACACACAATACGACGCACACATATACACACAATACGATGCACACATATACACACAATACGACGCACACATATACACACATTACGACGCACACATATACACACAATACGACGCACACATATACACACATTACGACGCACACATATACACACAATACGACGCACACATATACACATAATACGACGCACACATATACACACAATACGACGCACACATATACACACAATACGACGCACATATACACACACGCACACATATACACACACAATACGACGCACACATATACACACAATACGACGCACACATATACACACAATACGACGCACACATATACACACAATACGACGCACACACAATACGCACATATACACACAATACGACGCACACATATACACACAATACGACGCACACATATACACAATACAATACGACGCACATATATATACACGCACACACAATACGACGCACACACACATACGACGCACACATATACACACAATACGACGCACACATATACACACAATACGACGCACACATATACACACAATACGACGCACACATATACACACAAGTCCGATTTCAGAAACATGTTGGTGACTGTACAAACACGCCAGGGTAGAATGTAATGAAGTAAACACAAAACATTCATCAGATGCG